TCATGGACAGCATGATTTCTTGCTACAACAGAAGTGGTTATTTTCGAAAGCTTTAGTATGTTTTTGTTAGGATGCTTGAGGTTAGAGCGGACACCAATTCATAACCTTGTTATCTATCTTAGGTTCAGTGCGGGTTAGCATGGCTTAGAGAAGGAAGTCGTGTTCATTGTCATATTATTAGAAAAGATATGAATCCGAGTCTGATTGTTTGGGCCAGCATTGATTGCTTTTATGCTGCATGTGGTGAATTGAAAAATGTGAGAAGGTTCTTCGTATACTTGGAAGGGAATATCCATATCGTGTAAAGCTCATGTCAGAATATGCTCATAAAAGATTGTTGGGACGGAATCTTAGCGTCTTTGCCCAGATCAGGCACAGGGTCTAATGCCAGACTCATTTAGTTTGGCAAGTTCTTGTCCGCTTGTGGAAATGTGGGTTTTTTGCAGTTTTCTTGGTCTCAGATACATGGTTTGCATCATTAAAGCGAATTTTCAGATGAATTTGTCCAAGTTCACGTGATTGATTGTACTCCAATGTGGCTTGTGAATTTAGCATGCACAGTATTTATGGGATCCAACAGAAAAGTTGTTGTAACGTGGAATTCTATGATTTGTGTGGATTCTCCAAATGGCTTTCAGTGCAGAGTCTGAACATCAATCTTTTTCGTCAAATGTACTTGAACGTCTTCAGATGGATGAAGTGACCTTCTTAGGTGTACTTCAAGCTGCCCAATTGGGGTCACTTTAAAGGGGAAAATGGGTTCATCAGATGCTCATTTGCTATGGTATAGGAAGGATATTTATATGACACAGCACTAACTGACATTTGCTAAGTGTGGAGACTTCAAACGGCTCAAGAGTCTTCAGTAGCATGTCGGAAGGATGTGGTATCCTGGATTGCAGCGGTGTTAATGTGTGGATCTAGGAGTGCTGAGAGCTGGTTGATAAAGTGGGGGGCTAGGGGGGGTGCGGCTATGCGAAGCCTCTTCACGACTCAAGAACAGCAGAAATCCGTGAAAATAAAACAATGAAGTGGTACCTGCATGAACAATTTTATGGGCTTGCGTCATTAAGGTTCTGTGGGAAGAAGGACGGTTTAGTTTACGCAATGAGGGATTTCGGAGTTGAGCCAAACTCAGAACACATGCTTGCATGGTTACCTGAACCGCACTGGTCATATCGCTGTACGCATATAATGACCTCGATGCCATTCCCCTCTGAGGCTAGCACTTTGGATGTACTCTTCTTAACGGTGCGAACCACCAAAGAACAGATAGTGGTTAACATCATTGAAAACGACCTTTCTATATCGTACAGCGATCTGGATGCTATACTATGTTATCTAATAATTGCCGATAGAAACATGACATAAGTTGCGGAGAGGTGAGAGCATTGATGTATGGTCTGATCTCGGCCGTCCCTATTAACAGTAGGATTGAGCTGATACGAGAATTCATTGGTTGAGGTTGGTAATATATTTCAAAGCAGCGACGGAATTACAGAAGTTTAGCAAATTTTCAAATTGCACTGAAAATTTAAATACAACAACAGAAGAAAGAGTTTGAGACTGCACAGTATGTACTTTCCCATAGAAAGAATAGTTCACTTAAGCTGCAGAGCTGGCGATGCATTTGGGTAAAGACCAACACCAGTATCTCTTCCCTTTTTCGGATTGGTATTTCTTCCGAAATATCCAAAATCATGGTTAGAGGGTGGTTGTTAAGAGAGTTGGTGACTCGGTTGTTCATCATTGATGATATGGGATGTGAGTTATGGCATGGACGTACCCGCCGGTTACTCCAAGTCTCCATCACGGTCGGTCGTATCTGATGGACTTTCATTTGTACTCGGTATATACATGCCCCAAACGGGAGCTGTAAATATAGTCGGTGATAAGTAAAATCACGTGCAAAAAGATATAGTACTGGACTGTAGGTTTTTCGGGGCGCTGCAAAGAGTTTCTTAGTTCTGAGGATAATTTGTTAGCCGAACCAACCAGACACGGTATAGTTAGACATTATGGTTGGAAATAAGATGACAACACGTTCCCAGTAGGTTTGTTTTTTGTCTTCAATAACGCGGGCTGGATACTTAAATCTACTATCAATCCGGGAAGGTTCGATCATCCATACGTTTCCTTTTTATTTTATGGGATGGATACGCATACATCCTACATTTATATCAACTGACAAGGTCGTGTCGGTCTCACCATATACAGCGCCGTGCTGTGGGAGCTTGAAAAAGACATGAACTGACACGGCACAAAAAAAAAAAAAAATCTTTAACGTCTATGAAATATAATCTATGTTCTTACAGTTTACATATGTTTTTAAGAAATTTAGAATTAATAAAATGAATATGATAATATTCTATATCTAATATTTTTACGTTTAATTTGTAATTTATATATTAGAGTAATAAAAATGTTAAAATTTATATATTTTAATGTTTATCTATTATTATATATGTATTAGTAATTATATTGTTGTTTAATTAATATAATATAATCATCACTAAATATAACATATAAAATATTTTTACAAACACGGAGCCGACCCACAATCGCGTAAGATATGGGTAAAGGACCCAGAGCGCAAAAGCACACGATTCTAAGGTATTGTTTTGCAATTTTCCATTCGATATTCATTCACATAGTTCATACAGATGGATCGTACCTTGTGGTTTGTATATGATACTGATTCTTGCATATCCTATATCTCCTCTCTATTTTATTTTTTCTTGGGAGGATGGAGCCTCTTTTAAACTTGAGCTGGGTAAAACCACGTCGGAAAGTTCATTCTAGTATAATGCGGATGAAGTGATTGAAATTTTGCTTGCCGAAATCTATTAATTTTTTGTAATGCCCAAATCATTTTTATAAATCTGAGTCCTGGCCAGATTATTAAGGACCAATATAATGTTTTTTCAAATATATAAATAAAAACAGAAACAAAACATAACAATGAAGATCGAACGCTCGAGAATTTGTAATCGGCATTGCCATTCGAGTCTGTAATGAGAAGCAGTTTCAAATCGGGATCAAATTAATTTTGAAATCTTAGACTTTGTCTAGGACTCCTCTAAAACGCTTACCAGGTTTAAAGAATTCCGACTTTGGTGCACCACAAACAAAAATAATGATCCCTTTACTTGCCCTGTTCGGTAATGGCAATACCTAACGACTCTACCTCCAACTCCATGCCCACCTTTTGGTCACTGGCCTTCACAGTGCCCCACTCTGCCTCCGTCGGTTATTGAGTCCTATGCCCGAATGGTACCCTTAATCTCAAGATTGTCCTTTGGAAACCTTCACAAACACTGATTCTTTCATGTGGGCTGTACCATCAAGTGTTAATGTGTGGAACATCTCTTGGAAGAAGCCATTTCACTCTACACTAAAATGATATCAATACCACGGCCTTATTAGTAAACTTTATATCCACGGTTTGAGGAGCTGTTCTGGTTCTGGTAATCTGGTTTTGGTGGAAAAGTTCATGAGATAATCAAGGGGTTTGATAATATGATGTTGTTGAGGACTTACTTGGTTTGTACGGTGAACATAGGCTGTTTGACATGCAAGGAAAGTTGTTTGAAAAAATGTCTGTGAACAGAGATGTGGTTTCGGGAGTTCCATTATTAAGTGTTGTTAATAATGGGAAGGTTGATGAAGGGCTCGAATATCTCGTCTATATGATTATGATAGGTGTTCCAGCGATTCTGTGACGAGGCTTAGTGTGGCTAGGCTGTTGGCGAATTGTGTTTTATGTGAACTAGACGAGTTCTGTTCATGGTCACGATGGGCGGAAGAAGATTAGAGATGATGGACCATGGTAATTCTCTTATGTGATGTATAGAAATGTAAGGATTGTGTCACCCCCCCAGGCTGAAAAGGTTTTTTGAACGTTGAAGAAAAGAGGTACTACTTCAGACAGGCAATGATTTCTGCTACAACAGAAGTGGTTTTTTTCGAAAAAGCTTTAATGTTTTGGTTAGATGCTTGAGGTTAGTAGCGAAACCCAATTCCAGTAACTTGTAAGTCACTACTTAGGTTCATGTGCAGGATTAGCCTTGGCTTAGAGGAGGAAGTCGGTCTCATTGGATATTTATAGTCAAAGATATGACATCCACGTCTGTTCTTGGGGCCAGCATTGATTGCAATTTATTGCTGCATGTGGGGAATTATAAAATGTGTAAGAGGTTTTCGTATACACTTGGAGAGAGGGATATATCAGTATCATGGAATAATGCTCATATCAGCAATAGTCATCAAAAGGGATTTGTTGAAGGAGGCATTAGGCAGTCTTTGACAGATAGTGCACAGGGCTATGCCAAGCTCATTTTAGTTTTGCCAAGTCCTCGTCCGCTTGTGGCAAATTGGTTTTTGCAGCTTGGGCTTCAGCATACATGGTCATCATCTAAGAGAATTTTCAGATGAATGTTGTCCAGAATCACTATTGATATGTTCTACCAAATTGTGGTCCTTGTGAATTTAGCATGCACAGGTATTTTAGGATCCACGAAAAAGCGTTGTACGTGGAACTTCTATGGATTTGGATTCTCCCAAAATGCTTTTCACTTGAGCATCAATCTTTTTCGTCAATGTACTTGAACAGTCTTCAAGATGGCTGAACGTGACTTCTAGGTGTCTTACAAGCTTGCTCCCATTTGGGTCATCTTAAAAAGGGAAAGGGGTAATCCCAGATGCTCATTTCATGGCATAAGGAGGATATTTATATGACACAGCACTAACTGACATGTATGCTAAGTGCTGGAGACCTTCAAACGGCTCAAAGAGTCTTCAGATGCATGTCGTTTGGAAGGAATGTGTTATCCTGGAGGCCATGATCGCGGTTTGGATGAGTCCCTCAGGCGGCCATCTCACTCTTCAAGCAAATGCTAGAATCCGGAATAAAACCCAATGAAGTTACCTTCATGAACATTTTATGGGCTTGCAGTCATTCAGGTTCTGTGGAAGAAGGGAAGGTTTATTTTAACGCAATGAGGGATTTTGGAGTTGAGCCAGATTCAGAACACTATGATTGCATGGTTGACCTTCTAAGCCGCACTGGTTATATCGACGAAGCATATCAAATGATCCACTCGATGCCATTCCCTGCTGATGCTAGCATTTGGAGTGCTCTTCTTAACGGGTGCAGAATCCACAAAAGAACAGATATGATTAACATCATTGAAAAAGACCTTTCAGATATTAGTACAAGCGATCCTGGATACTATACTATATTATCTAATATATATGCCGAAGAAGGAAACTGGAATAAATTTGGGAAGGTGAGATCAGTTATGGATGGTTATGATCTACGGAAGGTCCCTGGATACAGTAGGATTGAGCTTGATACTGAGAATTCATTGGTTTAGAGGTGGTAATTTATTTCAGAGACCAAGGAAATGTACAGAATTTTGGCAACTTGAAAATTTTAATACACCAAAAGAAAAGGTTTGGTGGCTGACAATAGTGTATCTCCCATAGAAAGAAATAGTCACTTACAGCTGCAAGCTGGCGATTGCTTTGGGAAAGACCAATAGCAGTAATCTCTCCCCTTTCTTCTTTCTTCTTTCCTCTGATTAGTCATTCTTTCCCAGGAATCATCCAAAATCATAGGTAGAGTGGTTGTCACAGAGAGTTTTGACTCGGTTTCATCATTTTATGAATGGTATGTTGAGGTTATGGAAGCACCCCTGGTTACTACCAAGTCTCCATCAAAGCAACGATGACAGAAGACAGATTAGGTCGGTCTTATTCTGATGTACAGTACTTTCATTTGTACTATGGTATTTACATAGACCTAGACAGGGATGACTAAATATATTCTGAGATTTGTAAGTGAAAATTACGTGCGAGGATAGAGTAGCTGGACGTGTAGCATTTCTCTGCTGCTGGAAAGAGTTTTATGCTGTTGCTTCCCACTCGAGACAAGCAAAACGTACTGAGAAGTCCGTGATTTCTGATTCCTGCTTAATTGACAAAACTGTCACTCACGTACCCCAAGTATCATTCATGCTTTGTGTTCCTGTTGAAAGAAAAACAGTGATCTCTAATCAAAGAGAGATATATTTTTTTTAAGTTAAATTAAATAAATGCGACCAAATCAATGCACAAAGATACAAGGGGCATATCTCAAACGAAGACAAAAAGTCTCAATCAAAATATGGAAAACATTCACAAAAACCACAAATGACACAAAAAGAGCACACAAGTTCCTCTAAAAAATTTAATCAAATAAATATCATATCAAACGAAACTGGATTGAGATTTCATACTTGGGCGCTAAACCCTAAACCTTGGTCTGTACTAAATCACATATAACCAACATAATATCTCTACGAAAGCTGCAATGTTGATGGAATACACGATTATTCCGTTCATACCACAGAAAGGAGAGATCCCTTCTATTGTAAGTTGAAGGAGCACAATTTAATGGCAAGCATAATTAAAACTTTAATGGTTAGTTTGGTTTAGGATGATTATCAGTTGATGTTGTGCATACCACAGATGTTGTTGTGCATGAATCCATTATCTTTACACAGCCGCAGGCACATTCGTCAAGAACGCCAGCATTGGTCCAATGAAAGTTCATAGCAGAACAAACTTGTTGAAAGTTGAAACATTCCATAACAAATTCCCTTCAATAATCTTCTATAGTGTTAGTGACTGTAAGCTTTACAGCTTTGAATCGCTTTGATAGCTGTTGGAGATCCCACATCGATTAGGCACACTCAAGCCAATGGGTTTATAAGAGTTGTCAATCCTCTCACTTAATAAGGCCTTTTGGGTGAGTAGTTTGGCCTAACTTTAACAACTGGTATCAGAGTCATCGCCATTTGAGCTGAGTGATTGACCAGCGGTGAGCTACCAAACTACCTCCATTCATAGGCAAGTGGACCATATGGGCTGGACCGTGAGGGGGAGTGTTGGAGATCCCACATCGACTAAGCACGCTCAAGCTAATGGGTTTATAAGAGTGGGCAATTCTCCCACTCAATAAGGTCTTTTGGGTGAGGAGTTAGGCCCAACTCCAACAATAGCTACACCTAATTAACTCCAGCTTGGTGAGTAAGATCTATTGAACCCAACTAAGCAAAAGATGCCACCCTAGAACATGAGAAATCATCAGCAACATCCAAATCCACTCGGCTACACCCAGGGGACTTGCTCAAACCTCTCATCAACTCTCTCACTTGATTAACTTGACTCCATCTTCCATCAGAAGCATACAGGTTAGACATGAGCACATAATAACAAGCTTTATCAGGATGCAACTGTAGCATTCTCCTAATCACCACCTCCCCAAGATCAAACCTGGAATACATTCCACATCCATGTAGGAATGCTCCAAACAAACTAACATCAGGTTGAACAGGCATATTCTCTATAAAGTCCAAGGCCTCTTCCAGCCTGCCAGCACGAGCCAATAGATCAACCATACACGTATAATGCTTCATGGAAGGCACAAAGTTGAAGTCCTGGCACATTGAATAGAAATACTGCCAGCCCTCCCCAACCATCCCTGTATGACTACAGGCAGACAAAATTGTTGTGAAGATTACTTCGTTAGGCTGCACTTCATCCTTCAACATATCACTGAAAAGTGCAAGGGACCCACTACCATCCCCTTGCATTCCATAGCCACCAATCATTGCACTCCATGTTACAGTGTTTTTCTCTCCCATGTCATCAAAAACCATACGAGCAGATTCAGCATCTCCACATTTGGCATAGAAGTTCAATAAGGCAGTGCCAACATAGACATTTGATGATAGTAGGCCCTCTTTTATGGTGAATGCATGAAGAGAAGAACCAACTTGGAAAGTACCAAGTGAAGCACAAGCTGAGAAGATGACCACCAATGTGACTGCATCAGGTGTGATAGAATCTGATCTCATTCTATGCAACAATTCAAGTGGTTCATATGAATACCCATTTTGGGAATACCCAGATATGATTGAATTCCAGGTAATTACATTCTTGTCCGAAACTGTCTCAAATATGTAACGAGCATCTTCAATCATGTGGCACTTAGCATACATGTCTATTAGAGCATTGAACACTGTTGGATCCTCAAATCCAAGTTTAATCCCAAGACCATGTAATGTCTTTCCCAGATTCAAATTCCCCAGCTGTGCACATGCTGAAAGTAAACTTGTAATGGTAACACAATTGGGAAAAACTCCAACCCATTTCGCATCTGTAAACAATTTTAAAGCCTCGTCAGGATAGCCTCTTTGAGTATATCCAACAATCATTGCTGTCCACGATACAAAATCAATAGTGGAAAGTCCATCAAAAACCGATCTAGCATCTCTAATGTCCCCACACTTCACATACATATCTAAAAGAGCCGTCACCAAGATAGAATTAAGTTCAACACCAATCTTGATCACATGCCCATGAATCCACTTCCCCTGATGCAAAAACCCTAACTTTGTGCACGCGGTAACTAAGCTCCCTAATGTAAATTGATTGCCTTCAATAAATACTTCCCTCATCTGATTAAACAAAATCAATCCTTCCCGTGCACGGTCATTCTGTACATACCCCACAATCATTGAAGTCCATGAAACCACATTTTTATCGACTGTTTCATCAAACACTTGACGAGAAAAATCAATTTCTCCACACTTAGCGTACATGTCGACAAGACCCGTCAACACAAAATCATCAGGACTTCCTGCCTTAACAACTTCACAATGCACCTTCCTCCCTTGATCAATATCTCGCAATTCACTACACGCCTTTAACACTATCGAAAACACAACATTATCATGCTCTTTGACGCATTTTCTCATACTATTATAAAACTCCACAATCTCTTTGTACAAATCATTCAAAAAGTACCATCTCATCATCACTTTAAAAGAATAAAGATCTGGGTCTCGCATTCGATCAAACACCAGACGAGCATACTTGACATGGCCGAAAGAACCATACATGCTAACCAGTTTAGTGTTACATTTAACGTCATCAGCTAAGCCGTCTACAATAAGCAGAGCATGCATTCTTTTCAGAGAAAAGATGTTTTTGCAGATGCCCAGAAGAGAAAAAAGGGGAATTGAAGCAACGGTTTGATGTGGGTCTAGACGTGGAGTTGAGTAAGATAGAAATTTGAGTTGAGGGAAGGGTTTTCCGGAGCGATGTAGGAAAGAGACGAGTTTCATCATTTCTTGTTGGAGTTGTTTTATGTGTCGTTGAAGAGTTGCACTGTCACTCCCGCCGCATGTTGGAAGGCAAACTGATACTGAGAAACAGAAAGATCAATTTCGTTCTATATTTTCTGAGTCAGCTTCAGCGTCACTTTTGTATGTAAGCCCAACCATACCATATGGTCCATACCATGTCAAGTGTTTTTATTTGACCAAGCATGTTGTATTAACAAAGAGTTAATTACAATTTTCTCCCTTCCGATGCTGTTGGCATTTTATCAGGTTTCGGTAATTAATTTAGGAAAATGATAGAGTTACCGAAAAGTGTATACCGAAATTGTGCACCGAATGACGTGGTAAAATCCTGACCGTTGATTAATATTAACTTATAATGAATCAACGGTCAGGATTTTGCCACGTCATTCGGTGCACACCCGTCGGTAACTGTAGCATTACTCATTAATTTAAGGAATTGAGTGTAAAATTTGTTTTATCAGAGTTTTATTTCGGATCCTAAAGGGAAAATTGATATTAAGAATTGGTTTAATCTATTTTAACACTAATTAATAGTTAGAGTTTGTTGTGCCAAAAATACACACTAATGTCAGTACCACCAATCATAGTTCAGCAAACACTTAAAAATAAGGTGGTATTAGTTGTCATCAACCCAAACCGCCTCCAATATATATTTTATATCAACTCTATCCCACTTTAAGATAAGGATTAAGGAGTGGTCCCCACGTGTCATGACAACTTGTCATCTCTTCATGAAATAGAGGTCGGCCGGACATATAAGAGCTAGGCAAACATTGACCTTTATTTTTATTTTTTTCTGTAAACAAAGCATTTTCTCCAGTAGACATATGATTTGCTTTAAGCATCCGAACCACTTTAAAAATTATCTTCCATTTACTTCATTACATTTTTCATTCATGTGTAATTTCTAAGCCAGCTTAGCACTTTATACGTGCGAATCGTTGGTGTCAAAATCAAACATCGACAATTTGGTGCTAGAAGGAGGGCATGATTCACATCAACTCTCCATGTTTTTCTAGCTAGCCTCAAAATCTTCACGTCATCTGATGTGGAGACCTGAGCAAAATAAAGTCTGAATCTAGCAATGTGATAAACATAAGAGTTATAGCCCTTCGAGTTAGCTTTTCGATGGTTCAAGAATCATTTGAATCCGAGGTCTACAACTCAAGTTATCGCCAAAATACTGAAGCATGTTCTAAATTAAAGCTCTCGGATTGCATGGTAAGATTGCAGATTACACGTATTAGAGCTCTCCAATCGCGTGGTTAGATTGCAAATCGCACGCTCAGATCTTCAGCTTCAGATCGCTGATTTTTAACTTCAAATTGCGTGGTCAGATCGAAGATCACACGCTCAAATCGCTCTGATCTTCAGCTTCAGATCGCATGGTTAGATCGAAGATCACAATGATCTTCAGCTTCAAATCGCTCTGATCTTCAGCTTCAGATCGTTGATATTTAGCTTCAGATCGCATGGCTAGATCGCAAATCACACACGTCAGAGCTCTCAGATCAGATTGAAGATCGCACACTCAAATCGCTCTAATCTTCAGCTTCAAATCGTTGATCTTTAGCTTCAGATCGCATGGCCAGATCGTAAATCGCACATGTCAGAGCTCTCAGATCAAGTGGCCAGATCGCATATCACATGCTCAGATCATTCAGATCGCGCGTTCAAGATCGTTGAAATCACGCGTTTAGATAATTTAGATCGTGCTTCCGAGTGCTGATCTCGAGTTCTCAGATCAAGCTTCTCATTTTTTGATCGAACTTCTTCTGTTCTCAGATCAAGCTTTGCGCTTTATGATCAAACTTCTTCTGCTCTCAGATCAAGCTTCACGCTTTCTGATCGAACTTCTTTTGTTCTCAGACCAAGCTTCGCGCTTTCTGATCGAACTTCTTCTGTTCTCAGATCAAGCTTCGCGCTTTCTGATCAAACTTCTTCTGTTCTCATATCAAGCTTCGCGCTTTCTGATCGAACTCTTTTTGTTTTCTTATTGAACTCCTTAAACTCTTAGATCGCAAAAAGTCTCGAGTTCTCAGATCGAGCTCCTTATGATCTCATATCAAGTTCTTTATGCTCTTAGATCGAGCTTCTTATGCTCTCTGATTGAGCTTATAAGCTCACTCATTTGCTTGAGATCGCATGCTACAATTCATTCAGATCATATGCCTCAAGCTATCAGGTTGAGCCCCTATCAAATCACGATCAGCTCTTAGCTCTGAGATTACGAACAGCCTCAGGTCTTGTTTTTAGTTCTCAAATTGTGATCAGTTGTCAGTTATCAGATCGCAACCAGCTACCAACATTAGAAAGAACGCGTAGAAAACTCAAAACAGCCCCGAAATATGCCGAAACGATGGATTTTGGCCCCGAAAATGGTCCCATCCAAGTTCCTCTGTTGCCACGATGTAGAGCTCAAAACAAGATTTTCGTGGATATCTTATGGGCTCCAAAACTCCTCTCGGATCAAAAGTTATGGTTGTCTGTTTTGAGTTTTCTACGCGTTTTTTCTAATGTTGGTAGCTGGTCGCGATATGACGCCCGTCAGCCCCGAAATATGCCGAAACGATGGATTTTGGCCCCGAAAATGGTCCCATCCATGTTCCTCTGTTGCCACGATGTAGAGCTCAAAACAAGATTTTCGTGGATATCTTATGGGCTCCAAAACTCCTCTCGGATCAAAAGTTATGGTTGTCTGTTTTGAGTTTTCTACGCGTTTTTTCTAATGTTGGTAGCTGGTCGCGATATGATAACTGACAGCACCAAAATATGCCGAAACGATGGATTTTGGCCCCGAAAATGGTCCCAACCAGGTTCTTCTATTGCCACGATGTAGAGCTCAAAACAAGATTTCCATGGATATTTTACGGGCTCCAAAACTCCTCTCAGATCAAAAGTTATCGTTATTTTAAGTTGGCTTGTCCGTTTAAGGCCTCTAAGCCGTGTGTTTGGGCTTCTGGCATTAGCTTTCTTCAGGAATTCATCTTCTAGAAATTTTATGTCAATTATCAGATCGCGCTCAGCTTCGGATCGCCCCAAGCGCTCAGATCACAGTCCTAGCTCTTAACACTCGATTATGCCAGGCATAGTTCGAGCTCTTCAGTTCAAGACTGTAGCCTATAGTGTGATAGCCATTTAGATCTAAGATATGAGTTTTTGAAGTGCAATTACGCACTCCAAAAACTTGGGGAGTTCTGTTGTGCCAAAAATATACACTGATGTCAACACCACCAATCAAACTTCAACAAGCACTTAAAGGTAAGGTGGTATTAACTATCATCAACCCAAACCGCCTCCAAGAGATATTTTATATCAACCCTATCCCATTCTAAGATAAGGATTAAGGAGTGGTCTCCACGTATTGTGACAACTTACAAAAGCACTCATTATATTGATCTCAAAGGTGTATAAATGGGCACCTCTTTTCGTGAAAAAGGGGTTGACTGGGCATATGAGAGCTAGATAAACATTTGAGCTTTATTATTTTTTCTCTGTAAACAAAGTATTTTCTCCATTTTTGTACGCCTTATAGGCAATATCAGAAAAAGAGTCAGAGAATAATAAAATAACAGTGGACGTAGATTCTCTTTAAGCATCCGAACCACTTTAAAATTCATCTTCCATTTACTTCATTGCATTTTTCATTTACTTGTAATTTCTAAGCCAGCTTAGCACTTTGCACGTGTGAATAGTTGGTGCCAAAATCAAGCATCAACAGCGTTAGTTAATTTTCAATACTAACTAAGCAATTTTTATAAATTTGTATTATGGAGTATAAATTTTATGAATTTCTAAGAAGCATGGCATGGAGAATAGTATAGTTCCAAGTTGACTAAAACCAGTTGGACCATGACATGAAGATGTCATGTTACCTTCAATTTGATATATATATCCGTGTTCACTAAGTTGTTTATTTATTTATTTTTTGGTAATCGGGCTATTTAGGCCAACTTGCATGCACTTCAACTAATTCCTGGAGTCTATTGAATCGCCAATGGTTTGGAGTTGATTTCGATCGATTTTCTCACCAAAATCGATCGAAATCATCATTTTATCATTTCCCAACCTTGATAGCCCTTGATTTGGGTAATTTTTGATGAATCTTGCAACCCAACTCCACCACACGACAGCCATTTCTAGCTTTTTCGACATTTACCCAACATTATTGGCCTTTCCCGACACCACCATCTTCCTCCCCTCAGCCCTCTCACCAAAACCCCTATCATATCTCATCTGTTTACTTTGCGAATCGCCGGCCACCGATACCTTTTGGGCCGTGACTTCTCAAGCCTTTTCTTATCAATCTTGGCATTGAAAATCACCCATTTCACGACCCATCACTTCTCCAACATCTACTCTCCAAAACCCCCCACCAGCCTAACCTTGTTAGCCTGCCGATTGTTGTCCACCTCTCTTAGTGATTTTTCATCTCACAAAAAAAAAAAAAAAAATTAAAATAACTTTTTTAATATGTGCTTATATTATTAGAGGGCCCCAAAGTAACTCCTGCCTAGGGTCACAAATGTTGTAGAGACGACCCTGAGTGGTGTGAAAGTACCAAGTAGAGGGATTGGCCATCTCCAAAAATGAAATCAACGGTGCCTTGGATATATCAGTCCTTAAAGAAATGTTTGCCTTTATCATCACACAATGTGTCTTGATAACCTATAAACTTGCAATGGTAGAATGCTGACTTATCTCCAGATATTCTCATGATGACTGGTTGTGCATCCTCTCTTTTTCCATCTGGCATTGGAGCCGTATTCTACAAGAAAAGGTCACACAAAGAACAAAATGTAAGATATTCACAATAGAGTGATGAAGGTGTAGTTACTAATGAACTCTCAAATGTAGCAAATGCACTTTAGCTTATATCGCCTGCTTTTTGTAAGTTATGGTTACGAACATGGCAACGTGTCTTATTAAGATATTCAAAAGAAAGAAAAAAAGGTTGAAGTCCTAAAATATAATTCATACATTGTCACTAAGTTTTGAAACTGTGAAATAGAGTATTATAAAAGCAAAGGTACATACCACAAATTCAATATTAACAGCCACAAAATAATCGCTCTCTATAGCCACTGTAGAACTGTACACCGTACCATACTGAGCCGCTGTCCCATTGAAACAAATCTTCGGCATGTCATTTGGGTCCCCATAAAATGTTATAAATTGCTTTGACCTGTCAATAGTGATCTTCTCCCAATATGAGCCTCCACCGATTTTAATAACCACTCTATTTGCGTTCAACAACGGAATGCTATTTATTGCATCACTGACCGTTCGAAAATTTCCGCTACCATCTTTCTTGACAGTGATAACCTTAATACCAGCCTCTGCCGTGGCCAGAGCTCCGTCCAAGTTGGATTCCATCTTATTTAACTTATAGCCTGTCTGGTTTAACTTAGCATTCCCTTCCTTGAATTTTTCAATGTTATAGTCAAGCCATTTGTTCAATTTTGATTCATTCGAGAGGATGAGCCTTGATTCGCATGTCGCAATTGGGAAGAATTCACAAAAGAGTAAAAATTTCGTTAACAAGGTCACAAGAATGGTAGACTGTTTCATTTCTTGAGCCATTATTGAGCGTCTTCTTATTGATAAAAAGGATGAAGTATTATTGGGTGTTTGCAAATGTGAAGCAATATTGCATGTGATGTTGTTTTACGTTTCATTTTTCAAGTAATATCTTAAACGAAGTGTTAGTGAGTATTTATAACCTAAAATACTAAAGCATGTTTATTTTTGTTTTTACGTTCGTTGGTTATCACATGAATGCCCCTTGCGAGAAGTTAAATTGCATATGTACCATTTATCTCTCCTAGCTCATACAAGGAGTTTAAAATAGTTAAAAAAGAAATGTACATCTAACAATAACGTGTGGGGAACATAAATTAAAATTCTTTTTTAAAACAAAAGAAATTTAAATGTAGAAATTTTAACTATTTAAGATTAATTTTTACGAAGTAAAAAACACTTCTGAACTGTCATAGAGCTAATATAGTGACAAGGGTTATGATTAGAGGTCTGGATATTTGAGGAATTTTGAGGTTGTTTGTTACAAGAAGATTGTGGAAGCTAACAAGATGCTATTGATGTTTATAGCTTAGGTATGTTAGGTTATATTTTAAAGGTGTGTAAGTCATGCTGTGAGTAGGATTGGAAAAGGATGGCAAGTATTTAATCAATTTCATTGATGTGGTAGTATTGTAAAAGAATGGTTGGTATTTAAGTTCGTTAGCTAATATAAGTTTATAACATGTTAAGGCCAAAAAATGTCCTCGGCCTAAACAGGCCCAAAGACGAAGACACCTTCAACAAAGCTGAAAGCTCAGGCCCAATTCTGATGGGGCCCATATCAGAGTTCTGCAAATGAGGCTCGTCTGGTGTGCTTTCCCAGTTCCTCACCATCTAGACCCAGGCCTTCTGATTCTAGAACACCTCATAGACTTACGATTAACTTGGAGCCCACAGTCGCCTATGAACTATAGTACTACTTGAACTCTACTAAGGAAGTCAATCACCATCCTAATTTGTCTAAGGTTCGTATTCTAGGCACGTTGGGACTCCATTTCCTACTGAAATAAGGGAGCCAAAGACTCCACTCTTTAAGAAAACCACCACTGCAAGGACTCCTAGTCACACTAGGATTCGAGGACCCTACAGTCATTATTTAAATAGAGGTCAGCCCTCTCACAAGGGGGGATATTACACCTTCAGACCCTGGAGTTCCTGCTCTTGAAAACTTCGCATTACAGCCGTAGTCACAATCTTCGGCTAGACTTTCGGTAACCTTTCCTCTCCCTAACCCTTACTAAACTAGCCTCACTCAGCCTTGCTGACTTGAGCGTCGGAGTGCCTACGGCAAACACCACCCCGGTGTTTTCTGCCTGCTTCACGCTTGTTTTCTTACGTGTGCAGGTGCAGCAGATCGCTAGTGACCTCAACCTCATGGGATCAGTCCCTCTTTCAGTAAAGGTAGATTTTTGCATCTACAGTTTGGCACCCACCGTAGGGTCTCTGGCAATCATTCGTCTCACAAACCCTGCTATGTAAAGAAACTCTCTATGGTTGAAAATTCTGATAACGCTAATCCTAGCCTCGAGGCCAGACTGGAGGCTCTAACTGCCCTTATGCAACAACACTCAGACAAGGTGGCCGCATTGGAAGCTGAGAACACTACCATCCGGACCGAAATCGACTCCATCAGGGCCGAAAACCAATCTCTAAAAGAGAAGGTAAGTCAGTTTTATGATCTTGAGCTTCTGCCTTGTCAAGTATAACCTAATTGGTTCTACGCCACAGTTCCGTCTATGCAACCTCTCCAAACTCCAGAGCATAGACCCACGACCTCGGATATGAGGTCGCACCAACTATGTTTGTCATTAGTTGATGATTCAGCCCTGACTCATAGTGAACGGGGGCTGCAAATAGAACCACTCTCAGTCGATCCGCTTCAGGCGCGAGATCAAGGTGTCCAAGTGACAGAAAGCTCGCTACAACAAGAACCACCCATCCTCGCCACCTCGTCTCACCTTCAGTCAACCATCCCTACCCAAACCCCACTCGGCTTGGCTCATCCTCGTAGGTTGAGCGGTCCCCCACTCCTTCAAACCATCCCACTCAAGTCCATCCATCCCAACAGACTGAACAAATCCCAAATAACCCCCTTACAATCCATGTAGGGCGAAACACCCGATCGGTTATAATGGGAGTCACCCAACCAGAGGGAATGAATGGGGATCCAAGCTACCAAGCGGCACACGACGGAATGATCCGTCAGGCTGCACCACGCGGATTGACCCAATAAAATGCATCAAGTACGGATCATGTGGCCAACCGAGTCAATCAGGATGACCTAGTTGTATCCGCCTCTCCTATGGAGCAGATATTGGCAAAGAGATTGGCCGACATAGAGGCAGTGATGAGATGCATACCAAAAATGTCAATCCTTACCAAAAAGAGCCAACCTCACTACTATGCCGATTCACCCTTCGTGGATGCAATCGCACTAGCCGAGATGCCACACAAATTCACCATCCCCAGCATGAAGCCCTATGACGGCACAACTGATCCAGATGACCACATAGCCTCCTATAAGCAACAGATGCCCCGAATACTAAGGGAATGTAATATCCCACTTGAGGTACGTATTTAAGATTTACTGTATTAGTTAAAAGTTTACCGTTTCAACTTCAATTGAGTTTGTTTGTTGTCATGGTATGTTGAGTTGGTTGAATGGTTGCCTTGAAATTGGTTGAGTTTTGGTGAAGTTTGGAAATCCAATCTTTGCCGGGGCGAAGAAGAAGCTTCTCCATGGCGAGGAGGAGCTGCACCCACAGGTAGGTTCTGCCCTGTTTCGCCGGGGCGACGGAAAGTGCTTCGCCACGGCGACGAGCCTAATAAAAAGTTTCTTGAGTTTTCTAGAGAATTCTTCTTTTGGGGCACAATGACCATTCTACCCCTAATTAGTAGGAAAAGTGGGGAGTAAAATGTAAGGAAATTTAGTAGAGATTGTGTTTGGATGGGGGTGTATTTGTAAAGAATCAAAGGATATAGATGGAATTTCCAAAGAAGGACAAGGGCAAAATGGGAAATGATGCTTATAATATGAGCTAAAAAGGGTTAAGTGTAGAGAAACCCTTTAGTCCATCCATTTCACCGCCTCTTTCATTGCCTATTTTTCCTCCAATTTCTCCACCCAATCTTCCAAGATTTCTTTAGGAGAGCTTTTGAGTAATTTTGAGTAGAGATTTCATCTAAAGCATCCTAAGGTAAGGATTCATGCTTTAGATGTGAATTTTCTTATAGTTATAGTGAAGTCTTATTTGGTTGTTATTGCTCTTGTTGTTGTTTTGAGTTGTAGAGAAGAAACAAGACAACAAAGGAAAGGAAAAGTGCTAAAGAAGTCACCTTTTCACAAGGTAAGTAAATCCAACCAACTTGAGTTTTGAATAAGTTTTTGAGTAGAGATTTAGAGATTGAGTAGAGATGTATGCTTGTATAAGTATGTTATGTTGCTGAGAAGTGAGTTGAGATGAATATGTATTATAAGAAGTGTTTTTGATGTGTGATGAGAAATGGAATTTGAGATGAAGTTTGAGAGATGTTGTGTGAACCTATTTGGAAGTGCTTTTCTTGACAGGGATTATATGTATTTGAGGGGGTTTTCCCCCATTTTGGATGGTTAAAGAATGAAGTATAGTAGTAATTATAGTAGAGTGTTTATATGCACATGAGTTGTTTGATGAAATGCCTAAGTGAAATCTGCCCTGCCGTGACTTTCTAAGTAATTTTTGGGCATTTTACGGATTGAACTGGGCTAAGACCAAAACATAGAAGTTGTAGCCCTGTCTATAAGCTTTAAAATGAGACCAGAACCGTAGCAATCCGAGGTGTATAATGCAAGTTATGGTTTTTTTAGTGTGACCTGTGCAGAATGACTGTTTTGAGGAAATCTTGTATTTGGCATTTCATAAGTGCATTAGTGAGCATGAGCTATCCATACGCATATTTATGCACTTAAGAAGTAGCTTGAGACATAGTAAAGAATTTGAGTATAAGCTACTTTAAGAGCTAAGAGAAAAAGAGAATAGAGTAGGTTGTGCGATGGGGAACCTGTGAGTAATGGGTAGAGTATTCCCGCATGTATGCCGCATTGAGAGAGCGGCATGAGTATGAGATAGAGAAGTGGTGTAGCCCGTGAGAGTGCATGCGGATGAGGGCTATACCCGAGTACCCGAGAGAGAGATTATACACTCACATGGCCAAGGGTTCCGAATCCATACATAACCGAGTCCGATCGGCTAGAATGAGTAGAGGTCACGTAGAGTGGGAGCGAGTCCCTGCCGTGCCCCCGGTAAGAAGGGGCCGTGACTTACTAAATAGTTACTAGAAAAGAGTTCTAAGAGAAAGAGAAAGAGAGAGAGAAGTACCCAAAGAGAAATTGAAGGAGGAGTTGTAAGGAAAGAATTAGAGAGAGAGAGAGAGTTACGGGGATAGATGAGTAGAGGATTTACTTACTGAGCATTATTTTAGTGTTCACCCCGTTGTTTTCCTATGTTTTACAGGATCCAGGTGAGGACGCGGTCGGATGGACGTCGACACGCGAGGGGAAGCGGTTACACTGTCCACCATGTTTTAATATCTTTTATACACATTATAATTTTGTGTAAAAATGTATATGTTTGTAAAGAATATATATATATATTCCCTCGGCAAAAAGAAAACGAGAGCTAGAGCTTGAACAAACAGTCCAATGGCAATCATTCCTATTATTGTCTGACGCGCTCCTGCTTTGAACCTTAACACATATATATATATATATATATATATATATATATAATAAAAAGAAAATTTTGGGTCCAATTTCTTTATATTATTTGATATGTATTTCATTATGAGTATTTGAGTAGAAAGTGGCTATTACAAGGAAGCCTGCATGTGTAAGAGCTTCGGTTCAAGCCTTTTCGGCCCAGCTCTTCAGTGGTACACTAACCTCCTAAACTGTTCAATCAACTCATTCGCCCAACTCATCGACACCTTCGTTGAATAATTCGCCAGCAGCAAGAAACTTGAGA